TATTGTAATAAAAAACAAATAATCTGTATCACATTGACATCAACAACAGTCAGTAAGTCAGTCAGTCAGCTACAATGTAGGACCAGGCACATATATGCATCGGTCCAAGTTGCCATACCTCATTAACAGAGAGAGATGGATACTGGATTCATAGGGGTAGTTAAGTCAATGGTGATAATATATAAAAGAAAGGTTGCATATAAGGATATAGTACTTATGGGTTCCAAATTTATAAACACTACAATAAATTTGGTAATGACATGAAATCAACTATCAGTGATACAAACGTTTCTTATTATATATTAAATACTAATACAAGTTAAAATAATTGATTCTTTGAACATATGGAAAATAAAGATATTTTGATAAAATTTTGTTTATCAGTTTAAGGGATTTGTGGAATTTGTTAATAAGATGGTGAACAGATCCAAGTTAGATAACTACTGAGTATCTGGAACATACTGAATAAGTGTTCCGTCTTAGTGCATACGATCACGGCATTAGGGATCGAGCCCAATGCCTTTGGATCTAGCTTTGTTTTAACTAATTACCGATACTGTATGACTAACTTCCAATATCTCCGATGGGTAATTACGTCACAACTGACAGGACTGAACTACATTGATCACCATTCCTCATTAGAAGTTCGGGAATTACCTCCTAAAATCAAGGTTAGTTAATGTACAGAAAATCGAGGGTATTTATAGTGTATCAGATGGCCTCGTGTTTCGGGAAGGTTCTGGAACTATGCTAAACGCAGAAGCAGAATAGTTAATCATCCAATGATAAATGTGACACGTGACTTGACACTTTCTAGATGTCTCTGAGAGACCCCTACTCAACGCTGATTGGATCAAATATTTCCCAATGTTATCAGGACCCCTCCGAATTATTCTTCGGAAATGTTTTGAATCCCCTCAATATTAATGAGATCTCGAACGTATAAAATTTGGCAGTAAGAAATTCATAAAGGATTATGAACACTCAAGATATTTCATTTTAGTTAAATCCCATTTGAATATATACATCATAAGAATAAAAACAAACCTTTAAAAATTTGTATAATTCTATTAGGTTTCTAAAGTGATGATGAATTACAATCCCATTAAGACTGCAATGTTACTTAAAACCCCATTTCAATAAACTTAAACTTACATGGTTCAAACAATCCACCTTACTTGCCAATTATCTAAGTAATAAAATAGTACCATTAACCTGTATACAACAACCATTGAAATATTTTCCAAAACTTCATTCGATCACGAAGTTGTAGTACTTTGTTTACTGATTTATTTAAGACACAAAGTTAATGAAATCACATAGAATTTTTATGATCCCAATATTATAAACGATAATAACATTAGCTTAAAAATAACAATGCATATTCGGATTAAAATGTTTCTCAAATGTTAACATATTCATTAATTTGGCTTGTGGCTGGTAGTGCAGTACAGGATGCGGATTTCACTCTATTTGGGACTCATCGAATGGATGTGCCAACATCCGTGTTGATATTTACACTAGTGCGAAACTTAAACAACAAGAAAACTTAAAAAGGAATGGAGGACAAACCTAAATCGAAAGTAATAAGAATTACTAAGCATTGACTAGAAATATTTTATTATTTTGCAAAGCCAACACATACATACTTAAACACTTGACTGATTGGCTGATCGCTAGTAAATAGTTCAACATTTTTGTTAATCATTCATAATCCACTATCCAAACTTTATAATCATTGAGTATTTGAGAAAAATATCGTGTACACAATTCAATTTTTATGTATAATAAATGATTTCAATAGTTAGGTGGATAACGCGATAACACTTGAGGCGAACGGTACTGGGTTCGAGTCCAAGAGAGGACATTAACTCTGCGATGCAGATACATCTAACTAAAGAGTCCCAAATAGGACGAGAAGCGCGTCCTGAACTTGACTGCTAACCACCATTTATCTCTGCTGACATTGATATATTGGTCATACAATAAAGAAATGGAATAAAGTTGTATTCTATTTTGTTACTATTTTTCCCATTGAATTATTACAACGTAGATTCAATGTACAACGACGAAAAAGAAACAATATTAAACATCATATATATAATACAGGAAATTGTTTATATACTACTTATTAAACAAAAATATCGACGATGAGCAAACTAATAGTATTTCGTGCAACAAAACTAAAGTATGGCCAAGTGATTGAAATTATGTAAAGTTTATTACAAAAATAAAGTAACAATATATATATATATATATATATATATATATATATATAGAGAGAGAGGGAGTTAAGCTGTATGTGCATACATATATATCAGTGAGTGCATAGTTTAATTCATCATGAAACTTTTGAATTAAAAAAACCCACCACATGACAACAACAATAATATACAGCTACCTTTGTATTGTAAAAGATGGAATGACCTTCATTTTTAGAACCAACATTTTGTTATACCAACTATACAATAATTGATAAGAATATAAATAATATACAAATGGATAGATATGAATGAATCGGTATATGAAACAATCAAACATAACTTTTTCATGTAGTATATTAGGTAAAAATAATTATCTAATATGTCATTATTTTTTTATTATACACGTGGTCTAGAATAACTGTAGTGTTAAGATGGTGGTTGGAGGTAGTCAACAGGAAACCCTGAACCCAGGTCGATAGCATTCGATCTGCACTAAGAAAGACTTGACACACACATAAATGTCCTAAAAGCAGAATTCCAGGTCCCCATTCTATTTACAAACACGAATAGTAAATCGATATCATTAATTGGAATATAATTCATTGTTTCATGATCACAGAAATTGTTGGAAGGATTACATTGAGTTATTTATTACAAACTGTCATGATTGGCTATTTTTAACTTGAATACTTTTAGATTTTAATTATTTGATATCACCATGTTGAAACACCGGCTTTGGTGGTTTGCACATGTGTTAGGAATGTCAACCCGGCATCTTTGACAATGAGCACTATTTTTAGGCGCTAAGATTAGATCACAAAAAGGAACTCATTTAACTGAAATGATTCTTCCTGGTTATATATCTTTTAAAATGAACTGTCTCTCTCATTATAAACTTTTCTCTTCCGCTCATTTTTACTAATTTAATTATTTTTGACGATGTACCTCATTCCATCATATACCTCTTCATGATTTCATCTTCTTATTTGTGTGATTTATACTTTTTTTACTGACCAGTCGTGTCTTGAATAAATCAAAAAATATCTCGACCTATAATGCGGTGAATGCTACTTGTGTTGACAGACTCAAGTAGTATGTAACAGCAATTGGGAGTGGAATGCTTGCCAGCAGAACAATGAAACAAAGAGAAGAGGAAGCGAAACAGGGAACAATTGGGATAAAGACAGAATTCAGGAAATCATACAGTATGTAATGGACAATTGAAGGAAGATGTACGAATGCTGAAACTCAATATCTTGATTAAGATAGAAAATAATTGCAACAACACCAAATTACTCAATACACGTGGTACGATATGGTAACGTAGGCCAATGTATACGTATTTCAGGCTCTATATCGATTATGGCTGACTATCGCGCCAGCTGTGATTGTCTAGTTGGTCAATGGATGAAAAGCAGTTGAACTCTACATAGACAAGTGACCTGGCAAACACCATTCACTGAAATCTAATTAGAAATATATGCGAAATATTATCTACCATCAATAGGACGTAAAACTCATACGAAACATTTTGCTCAAAATGATAATACAGGTCTGTAATTGAACAGCTTCTTTAGCCAAAGGAACATAATAGACTTAGTGAATTGATTGAATAATGTTTGTGACAAATATCATCAGTGTTCAAACTCATACTGAAAACTGCTTCATTTTAAGTAAAATATTCCCAACTAATCTGCTTACGCATCTCAATGCCATCGACACTAAGTGTGTACATGAAGATATATTCAGACACCTGATGCACTAATGGACTGGAAGTTCAATGTGTAGACAGATCAAACTCATTTGGAATTTCTCAGTGATTTCTCGCCAGTTTCAGAGGACCATAAAAATGCTGAAAACACTTCGACCTATCAGCATATTTTAGAAATTTCCAAGGAAAATCTAGTAAACGATTGTCTTCCTTATTTTGACTGGACAAATACTGAAATTGTTACTAGTTTTAGCATGTCCACAAAGAGTTCTAAAACTACAAGGTCATATAATTATATAAATTCTCTCGTCTTTTTTGCAAAAAGAACTATAGAAACAAAACGCTTATACTTTCCACCTGTTTTCTTTTCATGGATTCATGAGTAAATGAGACTAGGAACTTAACATTCTAGCGTTCATGTACAAGACTCATCAAGTTCAACCAAATGTTGAAATATATAAGTACTATTGTCATGAATTTCAAGTCATTAAATAGTTAAAGGTTTAAAATAATGGATGAGAAAAGTTTTAATGGAGAACTGAGATGTACCAAGAAATAATTATACATCTAGCAAGCAAATTCCATATACTTATTTTTTGTAAAGTGAGTACAATAAGCCGATAACGTTTATCATACATTAATTAAAATCAATCTAAGTCTTATTATTTTGGATTTCTCAAAAAATGTCTCACTTGTTAAGCCGTGAATGAACTAGTACGGTCAAGTATACAGACGGTTTGCTTTCCCTTTCAAAGTGCTCTCATAGCTAAGTGTTTACACTTTACGCCAAGAGAGTACTACTCGATCCCCTCAGGCGGCGTGTGATTCTTTTAGAAAAAATAAATGAAAAGCAAACTCTCAAAGTTGGACAACCCTGATTCCAAATCAATGGTGTATACGGGCTCCAAGATTTATAGGAAACGAATGGTGTGAAAGTATTTTCGATTGTTAGCTACTTTGAGAATGCAGCGCTTGACATGGCTTCCCTCAATTGTGGATCAGAGCTTTAAGTCAAAAGAAACTATCTGTTTCGGTTCGGATGACAGGACATTATCCCGGCAAATACAGATATTTTTTAGTGTTATGCTTTTTATTTTCAGTGCCCAGTTAATCGTACCAGATTTCATGTGAATTAAACAACTGTTTTTTGAAGCTAGGGAGAGTACCTGGTCCTTATAGATTGTTCCCAGTTTTTTTAAAAGATCGTAGTTCAGTTTTATAAATTAGATGAACTGAGATATTAGCCTCCGTAAGGAAGCTAGAAATCAGACTGACTGTCTCAGCTTATAGAACAAGATAACAGTTCACTTGTGACAACCACAAAGGAATCACTTTGACCAATATTTCATCTAAAACATTGGGATCCATAACTATCCAACGCTTAACTGAAGAGTGTGAATAGCAAACCTGGGAAAACAAGACTGATTTCATGCCTTAGCGTGAATGTACAAATTAAATGTTCAACCTTCGTCAGGTTTGAGAATATAGGTATACTACTAACACTTAACTGTAGTTATATTCCTTAGACGAGGTGGAACCCAACTCTGTTAGTTGAATTTGTTAGAATGAGCGTTAGTCATGTGACGTATAAGTATTTGTCACTGTTTAGATTTTTTGGTTTTATCTGTAGACAAAATAGTCAACTATCGTCACATTATAGGGTTACTTGATCAATCTGTGTATATTCTACAAAAAAGTCTTTAAGAATACGTCATTATGTAAAGACGATATTAGCTGAGTAGATTAAGAATAGAGTTCTCTGTTCCTACCTAACATTTAGTCACAAAAGAAAGAAGAGTATAGAATAACGCTAAACTAAAGATTTGGAAGAGATAGAATGAGCATAATTGCTCCAATATCATCAATTTTGGCCCATGTCATTTGAAATCTACAACCACGGATTAGTTGTTATAAGGTTTCTAACCAGGGAATCTGCATCTATGAGGACGATGAAACCTCAGAGATCAGTGACTTGAAAGAGTAATATAGTTTTGCTTGATCTACTTGGCTCTAGATATTTTCCAACCAACTCCTACCCTAGCCAGTCTCTAAGATATATGGCGGATATATATGCGTAAAATGTCTTTAGAGCAGCTCAGTTGATAAACTTATAGCTCCATTGACTAATTTACCTTTTTAATACTCTGTCCCTAAACTAACTACTATTCGTAATCAACTGTTAGAGACGTTCAATGATATTGCATAAAATCAATGCTAGTGGAGCGGTTGTATAATTGCTTAACTCCCTCTAGACGTCGAGTTACGTAACTCCTAACTTTCTATCCTGAGATCTTACTTATTCTTTGATCTGTACTTCTCGTGTACTTCCATATTTGCACGGTAGCCGAAGTTGATTCTACTCCTCTTTTAATTTCGTTTGTTACTTTGCCATTCAATGTGGCAACTTGGACTAACACAAATCCGTGCTGTACCTTACATTTGTTATGAATAACTGATATATTTCAGTATCTCCACTACCTGTTTCGGTCTGGGCACCCGGGCAGTATCACAGCCCGCACATACACAAATATGGTGTGGCGCATATATATTTGGTCCCCTCTTATACCAATATTTATGTGTTGAAATAAAATAAAATAAATATCTCCACTAGGGTACGAAATAGCCATTAAACAATACCAGTTCTATTCAGTAATCAACTCTGAAAGGACTCCTAAAATAACTTTAGTCTATTCTAACTGATAAATACAGGAACATCAATTGTTTCGACTCCAATTTGATACAATGTTAGTTAACCACCCCATATGAGTATTAAGCTATACATATTTAATATCCTTACTTACTAATAAGTTATTATTAACAATCTGAGAAGCTAGTACAAATCAATTATTACAACTCAACAAAATGTAGCTGATAGATAGTACAACTATCTATTCATCAATAGGGTCATGAGCCTCAACCAGTTTCCCTTTAAGCTCTACAGCTAACTGAACCATTAGTTCTAATCCTGTCCACTTTTTACTTTGGTATGGTGTGAAAAGCTTGGAATTGTCAGTCGGTCACGCTCTTACAGCACTACTTAAGTCTGATAACAAGTGTTCTCTCCATTATCTAAACTCTCTCACGACTGAATATATATATTTCACTTACCAAGTAACTATCATCTTCAACTGTAGGCTGAAATCGTCTGTTTTCCAATTCCGGTAAGCTATCTACAGCATGTAAAAGATTATGTTCAGATTTAGAAAATGGTGCTTTTAAGTATGAATTATTTTGTGCGACCGATAATGTCGGACGTCGTGTAGTTGTATTGAAATGATTATTTGGTTGTGAAACATAATATTGACGTGATGCTGAAGAGATATCAGGACGAGAGCGAAAATAATCACGTGATATTATAGTAGTAGTTAATGGTTTTATGACAGATGGCGATGCTGAAGAATATTGAAACGGTGATTTATAAAAGATAGGACCATCAGTTAAATATGATGAATTTGGTGGTTTCAAATTAATCTCATTATTTTCATTATTTATTCGTAATGGATGCATAAGGAGGTTATATGTGGATGATGGCTCAGCGCTGCTTGTTTGTGATAATATCATTGAACGACTCATATGATTTGATTGATTCTCGACAGGTTGTAAATGATGATACATGGAATTAGAAGAATTTAAATGTGGTGGATTAGGAAAACAATTACTGTTTTGATTAAACTTCCATGTATTTGAATAATTGTGATTATTATTAGCGTTAGCATTGTTATTATCATTATGATTATTATTTAAATTAACAATTGGATCAAAATGAAACTCATTAATTAGATTTCCTGATTCACGATAATCATGATCATGTAAATCTTTATACTGGATTCGACCTCTGCGATCAACCATTTCTTGTGTAATATATGGTGAATGCTTAGAAACTGGTATACTAGCATTTTCATCAACAATTTCTAAGCCATGAGGATGGTATGGACTTGTGGAACGTGAGAATGGAATTGGAAACTGAGGCGTTAAATCACCACCACTTCGAGTGATCCAATTATTATCATTATCACTTTTAAAAGATTTCAAACGAGTTGGTGAATTGACTAAACAACTTTCTTTGGCTGTAGGCATACCATAACTTGGAAGTAATTTTGATTCTGAAGTAAGATATTGAGGCAGTGCTCTTTGTCGACGAAATCCTTGGGATAGTTTACGTGCAACACCTCGATTTCCAAAAGAATTGATATTATGTCTGTAGGAACCACTTTCAACCTCTCCATATGTGTGTTGAGAAGAAATAGATACTTGTCTCCCAGGTGTAGTATAAGGTACATTCACTGAAGATCTCTCTCCACTATTTTCATCTGATCCTGGCTCTTGATAAGAACCAGATCCAACATCCTTGTTAACATCTCCAGAAGGTTGAAAGACTCGCTGAGAATTTAACATACTAGGGTCACAATTGCAAAAGTAATTATTGTCATTATTGCCATTTTCTGACTGCATTCTGGGAAATACTTCATTGTCTTCTCCGCTCCTACATTCAGGTAATTGATTATTTGTTCCATTAAATTTGTTCAAATGATTCGATGCATCGTATTCGTCTCCAACCCCACCAGAAGCACTAGCAACAGAAGAAGCTGGACCTCTAACTTTTACAACAGCATCTTCATTTTCAGAGAGGCCCGAACCTTCTTCATCTTCTCCACCAGCAATCCAATGACTAGCGAGTGTAAGGGGAACAGCTTTTGTCATATCATGATAATTACTATTTTCTCCTTGATCGACCATTACAATAACAGCATGTGTGCAACTTGTGTCGCATCGCGTCCCTGAACCAGCCCCAACAACACTTGCTGTACTTCCTATAGTGCCTCCACTACTTCTAAGATGAGCTGCACCTGCACTTATAGGTCGACGATTTGATGAATTGCTGTTCGTTGTTCCTATGCCAGGTTGAAGTCTGTTTGGATCATTATTACGATGTCCACAACTAATCGGTATAGAACTATCCGTTGGTTGACAAACTGAGTCGGTATTACCAACTTTAGCTGAAGGAGAAACACGATTAGCTTGAGAATGTGGAGAGTAAAAATGATCTACTTTGGTAACATCTTTAGAAGCAGCTTCACGAGCTCTCGCCGCTCCAGCTTCTTTAACAAGACGTGGAGTAGTGGCAGGTCGATGCGACCGTGCACATGCATTTGAAAATGATTTACGCGGTGTATTGTTACCTTGTTGCTGCTGAGAATTGTGATTGCTCAAAATTTCGTCAACATTATTACGATGATGTGAAACTACAACTGATCTTGAATTTAAGGCACTACCATTTGGTCCACCATGACATGGGATAGCATCAAAAGATTTCCCTACATTAGCCACTGAAGTGGTTACAACTGGACTTACAAGAGCTAAGTTTGAACTACTTCCGGCCAATCTAGTTCCACTTACATATCCACTTGAGCCTGCACCAACATTTAGCCGATTTTGATCCACTCCAGAAGGAATACCCTTTCGGAGCTTGGAGACATCTAGTGTTCCCTGTGCTCCAGCTACAGTGACCTGAGCAGCTTGTTGAGTTGCTATAGGTGTTTGTGTTGTATGGTGCTGATTAGTCTCATTAGCACCAGTAACAGGCGTAGGCTCAGTTGTTATCTCCCAATCAAATGGATCAGATTCATTTATCCTACGACGTTCCATATAAGCGTTAAGCAAAGAATGCAAATATATGTAGTCTGGACGATCAAAATAGGTCAAATTTTGAATATGTTCAAGAAATGGTCTAAATTCACGTGGCATAAACTTTAATAACTGATTATGATCAAACGTTTGTTTCATCAAGCCAACCTGCTCCTTATCTTTGATTTTTCGCCAAGGTAATTCACCGACTATGAATTCACCAAGCATATAATATAACGACCAGAGATCATCATGGCGTCCAAGTTCCTTATTTGAATGAGCATTAACAGAAGCGTACCTGACAGTACCCCGAAAACCAGCTACCTGTCTAGGAGCTCGAATGTCTCCGTTTGCAGTTGTATACTGACGAGCCAACCCAAAGTCAAGGAGCACAATTTGTCTAGGATTTACAGCGCCAGGTCCGATCCCAGTTCCTAATGCAAAATTTGATGGTTTTATATCTCTATGAAGAAATCCAACATTATGGACATTTTCAATAGCAACAAGCATTTGACGAGCTAGTCGTACAGTTGTACTTATAGTAAAACATCCACGACGAGTTGATCGTCTTAAATCTGCTAGATTTTTACCTTGAAGACTCATTACTATATAATTAAACTGTTCATTTCTACCACAACCGATAAAACGACACGTGTGCGCACGTCCTTGTAATCGTTTAAGTACAGCAACTTCCATTTTTAATACTTGTTTCGGTTGTTGTGCCGATTCAACTTTCACAGCAACTTTTTGTTGATTGATCATATCAACAGCTTCATAGATTTCACCAAAACCACCGCCACCAATTTTAGTGTAAACTCTCCATCTTTCTTTGATTATTGTGCCAACTGGAACAATATCACTACTTGTAGACGTCATAACGAAATGATAATTATGTTAGGCATGTAAGCCTACAAGTGGCTGGATTTTCAAATATTTAGCAAGCACTAGAATAACGGAAATAATAAGCCAATATTAGTAGAACAATACTGAAACAAAACTTAGAATATAAATAACAGATAGTTAAATCATCAACACCGAACAAGTGAAATAACATAGTCTATGGGTGGATTGCATTAATTCATATTGCTACGCTTCTCAGAATTATTATAAAATAAGTAAAAAGAACAATGTGCAATAGAGAACTAGAGCCAAAGAACTGAAACTACGGGACAAATTGATGACACAAGCAAAAGAATCCTAGTTCAGATTTACAAAAAGAAATGGTAAAAAATGAAGATATGTTCAAGACTAATCATCCCATTACTTCAGCGATCTCTATCAAGAGGCATATATTTATTCATATAACTTGTATATCAAAATTCACCTCAAATTAGTTATCAATGTGATTAACCAACCAACTACAGATTCAAATACCAGGAGATTCAGATCGCACTTTTTGTTTAAAGGTTGATAATAATATCCAGCATTCCAGAAGAAAATGAGATAGAACGCGACTCGAAACTTCAACTCTCGAAGAAATTAAGACACTCATTGCAAGAATATCAAATAATTCCAACGCTATACACTGATAATAAGCAGCTAATAATATTAACGAGATATCTATTCACTACCATGTTCAACTTGGTATACAAAGACATCCACTTCATTTAGTTCATGAAACGAACAGGAAAATAACTTGACCAAGACATTTTCTTATGTTTTGGTGATAAATACTTCCACTGATAATATAAGCAATTCATTATCTTCATGTTACCACGATACTACAACACAGAATTCAACATATCTAATGAATTACTGATTAATTATGATAAATATTGAAAGAATTACGTACAGCATTATGAAATTTTATACCTCTCCCAATATTCCTTTCCATAAGCGTGTTGTCTAGAAAAATGTGTCAAACCTGTTTTTTGCCCCCTAAACTAATTCATGGCTATAAATTCAGGTAAATTTCCAATCTAAACTGCATATACACCATGTAGATCATTTGGTGACCAATGTTAAGTAAATTTATATACTGTCCAAATACTAAGGGTCAAAAATTGTTAGAGGTGAGGAAAGTTAGTCCTCTATCCTCATAAACAGTGGAGAACTGCAAGAGATAATTTGGGGGCTTTTCACTTTTTTTCCCACAAGGATAGTCACTTGGGGGTGTCAAGATCATTCACCACGAAGTTTGAGGATGACATTAAAGTATGTGCCTTACGAATCATATTACCTTGTTATTACGTAGACCAACTAAAAAACAACTCAAACGAACAGAATTATATAAAACAACGAAAAATATCTGCTGATCTGGGTTGGAAAGCTTTACGATAGCAAAACGTAAACAAATATAACTCAACAGACAGGTGATTATTTGAAAGTAGATAAATAAGGATCTGAATCGTAAACATTAAAATGTCTAAGCAAAGTTCGTTGGACTTCCAATTACAACGTTCAAACAGCATTTTCGTGGATGCAGCTCACCCAGAAATAGTGAAATATGGCCGCATCTGAAAAGTGATATATTCATAAAGTTTTTATCCTAAGAATATGAATACATCCATTGAATATGACTCTTCCAAATGTCTTATAGTACTGAGAAAGAGTGCACCCATCACCATTGATTGTTTATGAAGAACACTTCAGTCGATGAACCTTTCAACCTTAGGACACTTTCGAAGTTTAAGAAAGACCTTAAAAATGTAGTTCTTTAGATAAAACCAACAGTTTTATAACTAAGTATTCCAACTTACCAACCAAGAGGTACTATCGTATCATCTAGTTTGGGCAACCAGATAGTTTAGTCATTTTTGTACTATATCCTGAGGGTACCACGAACGTCGACCACCAGGTTAAAGACACAAATGTTACTGTATACATTTCAATGGACCAACCAAGTCTCATTATTAGATCTCCCAGTAAGCATGATTCACGATGAATGTTTGAAGTTTTGTAGATGTGTTATTGAGTTAAGAGCTTTAATTCTAAGTGTGTAAATCTTGCATTCAAAAAATACGGCTCATGACATACTTGATAAACGTTCGGCGAAATCGACTCAAAAAACAATTTACTCAGCAAATCTTCGCGTAACCTACTAAAGATGTTTATTTATTTGTTATGACTAATCGATTCCAAGTTTATAGACCAGTTTATGTCCTGTGGAGCTATGTAATCCGACCTTCGAGACCGCTTCCTTGCCATATTCGATAGCGTCTTTCAGAATAGCATAGTAAAGGACAATGTAGATAAGTTACGATTATTATTCTGGAACATGCAGTAGACGCAAGAAATTCAACTTTAGGTTCGTCCTACGGAATCATTTGCAAGATCCCGTCAAACATTCCGAAAGATCTGCTCCTAAGCCTAAGTCAAACTGAGAAACTTAAGCTATTCACAACATGAAACCCCGATTTAGCATGCGGAAACGGTTTGGTAGGTCTTTTGCTTTTTATCATAGCCAAAGTTTATGGTTTATTTGGTTTACCCATTTCTTCCAGTGGTTCTATTGCATGGTTCAGTTGTTACGATTATTAACGCTGAAGAGGTTATTTCTAATAATGGTTTTTGATTATGATACACATTTCTTTTTTACCATAATGGCAGTAACTCTTTTCACTCCACTGATCACATACTTTTCAAGTATCATAAATCCACTTCTTCAGTGGATATTAACTTATGAAAACCATGCAGTGGAATTTCATGTAACAAATAACATAAACTTGAGATGCAATTATTCATTGACCTGCGATTTATCGCACACTTACTAGTGAGCAGCCTTGAAAATAAAATGGTAGAAAAAAATACTCGATAGAATTAACAGTTTCATTACTTGATAAATGTATTTAACAGGTTATCCATCAAAGACAATTAAGTAACACAACTGTAAGCAACCGACGATTTAACTTCTTCTCTAAAACGTTTTTTGAAATTGGTCATCTATATGCAACGTAGAATCTGGGACATATGTGAGCCGATTTAAGTTCCTACACTTAATCAGCAGTGAGGCATGAAATCATGATAAGGGGAGGGGAAATGGGTTCAATTATAATGGGAATTCAAATACAAAAATGCAACTAAAGGGCAGTAAATGAGACTTACGGCGAAAAATATGTGATGACAGTGGATTTAGCGTAAGGAAGATAGGATGGATGAAACCATTTTTAAGACATCCCCTGATATCTTTAAAACCAGGCTATGATTAGTCATCGAATATCAACCGAGAACAGTGAAAACAGGACAAATCATGTCCTGAAACAGGACAAATCATGTCCACCGATAATCGATGTATTTATTGTACTTCCTAACGCAGTCAAACATCCAACCACGTCCTATATACACTCGGTGAGGTTTTGTTTTTAGGAAGTGAAAGAGAAAACCTAACCCGAAACCATACTCTAAAAATACAACTAAGCTTTAGTTTCATAATCGCCAGTCAACCATATGCTAAGCGATGATTAACTCCTACATAAATACTAGTAGCTGATAATATACCGAAATGAGTAATGTTATATTTAAAGCAAACCGACACCTATTAGTAACAACTAACAGGCTCACTAAACAACCCAAGCAAATGGAAAAAGAGGGTGACGGCGCGGACAAGGAAAAAGTGTCTATTCCCCCCCCCTTATATCGATTATGTGGAGCGAAATCTGTAGACACATTTGTGTAAATTAATTTACAGATTGTTAGAACAACCGACTTACTTATAAGACACCTGAAAGTTCATACAATCTTACTAAAAAGCTTGTGGCAAACAACCAACAGATATTCATAAAGAATACAAACAAGTGGAAATCATCAAGTTATTTGGTTCTAACTACGAAAATGCAAACCTAAAGTCAGCGATACTACTAACGTCAACTAAAAAACGTGGAGACTTCAAACACTGCTTTTATTACCTAGAACATGGTCGTTATCTTAATTTATTTTATTATAAGGATAAACATACCTTGGAATGTAAAAAAGGGGATGAAAGCCGCTCCATTTAAATATTGCGCCAGGTTTTCAAGGAACGGGTAAATATATCTACACATTTTAAGAATTCATGAACTTCTCGGTTGATAACTATTATAGAATTCCGCTATCATATGTATATTTCGGCGCCAGTTCGATGTGATTCTGCGCAAAAAGACCTAATATGTTCTTTATATTATTCTTTTTTCAAACCTGCGTTGTGGTAGATAATTCTATATTATATGAAAGTATGTTAATGCATCTGATTTCTTAAAAATATGAGGCAAATAAAATTAATCGTGAAAGAAGAGACTGAAAGAAGATGACCAGAATAGTCTCCGTAAGCATAAGTGAAATCAAAGTACATAATGATTCAGTTTTCAGTTTCAGTTTCAGTTTGGGAAGGACAGGAGGCCCGATGGCCTGTGTTAGTCCTGACAATGGCGGTCCCTCAGTTGGTCCAACTTTCTTCTGAAATAATCGACGGATGGAGCCTCAACCAAGTGCTGAGGTAATGAGTTCCACTCGTTGATGATTCGATGGGAAAGTCGGTATTCAGCTGACAAGTAATTTGTTCTTGGCTTGTGAACTTTTATGGAGTGTCCTCGTAAATTCTCTGTTTTGAAAAACAAGAAAAATGAGGGCATATCAGGTGCAAATTTGACACTAATTAATTTGAAAACTGTAATCAAGTCGCCTCTAGTTCTGCGATATGACAACGGGAAAAGGTTCAGCTTGGCCAGTCGAGCTTCATACCGAAGCTTCGCTATTCCGGGAATCAGCTTAGTTGCCGTTCTCTGAACCTGTTCCAGAAGCTCACTGTCTTTTTTTAAGCAGGGGCCGGCCGCTTGTATGCAGTACTTAAGTTTAGGATGAACGAACAATGTATACAAATTCAAAAACGTCTTGGCGTCGACATGACTAAAAGCCCTACGTATTGACCATAACGTTCTAAAACCACTGGCGGCTATTGTACGGCAGTGTGCAGTAGTTTCTAAGTCTTGGCTAAAGATGACTCCTAAGTCATTATATGTCTGGACGACAGGTAGCTCAGTGTTATTCATCGTGTATGTATCTGTACCTTGATGACCGATATGCATCACAACACACTTGGAAGTATTTATCGGCAACTGCCAGGTTTGAGACCATCCAGATAATTTCTTCAGGTCATTTTGGAGTTCTAAGCTATCACCCTCACATCGTATCGTTCTCCATATCTTGACATCGTCAGTATATAGCAAGACCGATGATGATAGGATACGAGAAAGGTCATTTACATACAAGAGGAATAGCACTGGCCCCAAAACTGTACCCTGGGGCACTCAACTAAGCACAGTTCCCCAGCTAGATAACTTTGAGTTCACCCGAACTCTTTGTTTGCGCCCAACCAGGAAGTCTTTTATCCACATCAATAGATTGCCGCCAATTCAGACATTTTTTGGCTTATATAACAGCCGGTTGTGTGGAACTTTGTCAAAAGCTTTGCAGAAATCAATGTATGCTACGTCTACATGTAACTTTTGGTCCTTAATAGCGCACCAGCTTTCTCGAGCCGAAAGGATCCGGCTTTTATCGAGATACTTAAACAGCTCCTTCCGAATAATCTTTTCTAAGATTTTAACAACTACATTAGTTAGGCTAACGGGACGGTAATTCTCAGGTTTGTGTTTCGTGCCTGTTTTAAAGACAGGACTTACTATGGCGTTTTTCCAGTCTTTTGGTAAACGACCCTGCGTTACGGATAGGTTAAAGCATATACTTAAAGGGTTCGCAACGAAGTCAGATAATTCCTTCAGTAGCCTAGGATGTAATTCATCAGGCCCCGTGGATTTACCTATGTCAAGCATCTTTAGTAGACCCAAGACATCGAGTTCTTCAGATTTGTGTAGTAAGGACAGAGGGTCTACGGCCTATTTTATTCCTTTTCTAGTATGCTTCTGTGAGTGTCCAGTGTTCCCTTGAAAGAGTCAATTGAAGGTGCGGACACCGCTGCTTCAGGCAGCAGGTTCCAAGTATTGATGACTCGGGAATATGAGAGAAAAATATATAGATATCCTGAGACACGGGAAAAACTATCACAATGTATAAAAAATAAAAACTAAGGCAATAATATATAAAAATCCCAAAAAGGAACAGACTCACAGTTGCAATTAAGTGTACCAGATCGCGTCGGTCTCACCAATGAAGATGACACGGGTATTCAGTGTTTGACAACGCTTTTACCAGCAACACCTAATATAATTCGTACCCACCAAGAGAAATCAAAAGACAGAGTCGAAGAGATCGGAAGAGTGTATTTGGCGATAACCAATATATCGGAATTCTCTGATCTAATCTGGCTAACAATTGCGGTAGATATTGAGCACAGCGTTACCACACGTGGTCTGGTACAGATGCCTGACCGAGCGCCTTCAGCTAGATGAGTCCACTAAAACATATGGTCAGCATCCAATGTGGAAAACTTACAGAGCTATTTATTTTGGGGATTTATTTACCGCTACAGATCACTCCCCCCCCTAGTGGGGTAGCGATGACCCTAAGTCGTGGCCAGCCAGAAGTTTAAACCCAACGAGTATGTCGTTGGCAAATACTCTCCTGATAGATTGCTAGGTTTAGCAGCGTCTGGTCGTCTTTTCTTACTATATGGGACCGAGGTACAACATAGTAAAAAAAGAAAAAGTACAATGAAAATTTCGGCTCCTCGTAAACTGCATCGTTCTTTTCCAGCCGTCCTGGAAAAGAAAAAAGAAAATGTAAGTGCATGTCGAAATACACTCGTATGTGCGTAAAAACATAATGTCGGCGAAGAAAATGGAAAATAAACTCAAGCACACGTAATAGCGTTAAAAAAAATTTTACGCTTTTCGTTTGTTTGTCTGTTTTTTTTAAATAAAAATATGAATATATAAGCATATTAAAATTGTTTTTTTTTAAATATTATATATATCGTAAAGAGAAAGATCGAGATAATATAAAATGTTGAGTAGTGCCTTACGTGCAGTAGTCGTTTAAATGTTCTGGAAATCTTACTCTTCTTCCAGAACGAGTCGTTTTAAGTTTATTTTCAGACACATTCGGAGTGTCATCGCTAGTGTTGGTTGTCGGTTGAGGAATTATGAGTGTAGGAGTCGTGTTGTGCGATTTTACCGAAAGGAAATAGACGTGAATGGGATTTCCTTCTAAATACGCTGCTTTTAAGCAATCTATGCTGATGCTATCGTTTGTTCCGTTGTTATCGACTATATAGTAAATAGATTTACGTTGAAGAACTTTGAAAGGTCCTTCGTATGCTGATTCAAATGGTTGTCGATGCGAGTCTCGACGAACGAAAAAGTGTGTACTATATCGTAAGTCAGGTTGAACGAAAGCATCGGTGGATTGTGGTCGAGTGGAAGCAGGCTTTACGGAACGCATCGCGTTTGTAAGCTTGTTCGTATAGGAGGTCAGATCCATGCTCATTAAAGAGGATGAAGGATCCAAGAATTCTCCTGGAAGTTGAAGTTTTATTCCATAAACGAGTTGAGCCGCAGTGTATCCAATGTCAGCTTTCACTGCATTGCGAATACCTAGCAAGACGAGTGAAAGAGCGTCGGTCGACTGAGAAATGTTTGCAGCTGATAGTGAAGCTTTTAGTTGTCGGTGAAAGCGTTCCACTAACTCGTTTGCTTGTGGGTGGTAGGCAGTCATTCGGAAGCGAGTGATTCCTAAATGTGCGGTCAGACGACAGAAAAGTTCAGATTCAAACTGACGTCCGCGATCTGTAGTGATGGTTGAAGGGCAGCCGAAGTTTGCTAACCATCGTTCAACGAAGGTGCGGGCCACTGCTTCAGCAGTGATGTCCTTGATAGGTACTGCTTCTGGCCATTGAGTGAAACGGTCTACGCAGGTTAAGAGATAAGAGTATCCATTTGAATCTGGTAAAGGTCCTACCAAATCCAAATGAACATGGTCGAAACGAGCATCGGGAGTTTTAAATGAGCCTAAGGGACATTTATTGTGTCTGATAACCTTAGATTTTTGGCAGCTTACACAAGAGCGTGCTCACTCTCTCACGTCTTTATTCATGCCAGGCCAGCAAAACCGTTCTGCTATAAGCTTGATGGTTGCATGAATACCTGGATGAGAAAGTTTGTGCAATGTATTGAAGACATTGCGTCGATAATGTTTCGGCACGATTGGGCGATCCCTACTTGTAGATGTGTCACGAAGTAAGGTTTCCTTACCTGTTCCCATCTGTTTGATGTAAAGCTTGAGTGTTGTAGACGATAACTCGTGCTGACGATCAGTGTCTTCTTTTTGAAGCTGGGCGAGTTTAAGAAGGTCTATTCCTTGGAAACTGTTCAAGGAATTTATGCGAGACAAGGCGTCTGCAACTACATTGTTTGCTCCAGAAATATGTTGAATGTCTGATGTAAACTGCGAAATGTAGTCCACTTGTCGAGACTCACGGTGAGAGTACTTGTCTGAAGAAGAGCTTAGAGAGAAGGTGAGCGGTTTGTGGTCAGTGAAAAGAGTGAATTCACGATCTCCGATGTAGTTTTGAAAATATCGTACAGCACAATACATAGCTAGGAGTTCCCTACCGAATGTGCTGTACCTCGATTCGGTGTCTAGCAACCGTCTAGAGAAAAATGCCGAAGTTTGCCACGAGTTGTTAACTTATTGTTGTAAGACTCCGATTGCTGAATCGGATGCATCTACCGCGATACCAATGGGTGCTTGAGTGTCCTGATGTGCAAGCATTGTTGCTTTAGCGATGAGTTCCTTAATTGTGGAGAATGCTTTTCGCGCGGTGTCGTCCGAATTAATGGATTTCGCATTTCCACGAAGTTGGTCGGTTAGAGGTTTCATGAGTAAAGCTCATTTAGGTACGAATCGTCTATAGAAACTTACAAGGCCGTTAAACGTTCGTAGTTGCTTGGTCGTGGTCGGTTCTGGGTAATCCAGAATGGCCGCCACTTTGGTCCTAAGGGGTCGAGTGCCTTGAGCATCTATCGTGTGTCCTAGGAAGTTTAATGAGTCGGTTCCGATTTGGCATTTCTGAG